GAGAGAGAGAGAGAGAAATAAAGAAAGAAAGAAAGAAAAAGGATGAACAAAAGTATATTTATCGGCGCGCATATCTTTTCCTTCTCGTCAACGTCCCTTCTAATTTAAGAACATTCGGCGACGAGAGCGCCCCCCTCTCGCGTAAAGAGAACTCCAAAAGCGATATTCTCTTATCTACATCAATCATCATTCTCGTATCTCTTTCTTTTTCCTTATTCTTTTTTTTCTTTTTTTTTTTTTTTCCTTTTAATCGTTTAACCCATTATTGTTCCTTTCGTATTTTTCTTTTCCTTTTCTTCTTTTCTTTTCCTTTACCTCCCGGTTCGAAATTAACGAACAATCTGATCGCGGTTCCCCCTACGGAAACAAAGTGACGAGTGTGCCACGTAGCTAAACCGACAGTGAGGTTTCGAGGTTCGAAAATGTAAGCATCTATTTGGTAGGACGAGCGATCGGAGTTTACAGGGAATCGAGATTAAGGATATGGGTACGGATGGTAAAATATTTGGTTACAACTCCATGTCCTGCGCCTCGTCCTCGCTGAAGTCGCTCATCGAAGACTCGCTATCGGACGACACTCCGTTTTCGGTACCGCAGTTCTCCTGGTCCCTTAGCGCCTCCTCCGTCGCGTATTTCCTCACGTAATCTGCCAAGAAATCAAGAAGGAAATTGCATCCTCGAACTAATATTCAACACATATTCGTCCATTCGTGTAACGCTTCGAAAATATCCGGTTCGATTCGAGAGGGGGAAAAAATTAGGAGAAGAAAAAAAAAAAAAAAAAAATACTGAACGAAGACGAGGCTCGTGAACACGGAACAAAGAAATATTCTCTACTTATGGGGACGAAAAGAAAAGTTTTTCTTTCAAAAAAAAATGCTCACCTGCTACTTTCTTCTTGTACTCCTCAGGTTTATGTAGATACATGGCCGCGGCGTCGCCATTTAAGGGGTCGATTGGATTAGGATATGTTAACAATTGGGGCAGGAAAGACTCGAATATATTCGACAAATCTGAAACAGTGAAGAGCAGGGAGAAAAGATTGATTGCGGATTAGAGAAATATAGAATCAAGTATTGTTTATTTACAGAGAATCACGAGGGGATAATGATTTAAATTTCGCCAAGATTATGTAAATACGTACCGTAAAGGGCAGTCCAGGCCTGGTTTATTACGTCTAGACACACTGTGCCTGAGACCTCGTCAATGTTAGGGTGGTATACCTTGTTCATAAAGCCGATCGAAGGAGATTTGAAGGGATAGTGCTCGGGCAAGTGAACCCTCACCTTCCATATTCCACCCTCGTAAGGCGCTGTAACGTAATACAAGTACACGATATAATCAGTGCGAGCGAAATGTCAGTCTTTCGTGCAAGATAGATGATCAGAATATATCGTTCTTCCGAGTCGAAGAACGAAATTTTTCACTGTAAAAATAAACGTTGGTAGAATATTTTAAAGGGGAGGTTAATTTAATTATAATCGATGCGAAACATCTTCTGCAAATCTGTGAAAATCTAAAACTCCTAAAGGCAGGGAGTTTTAGATCCAGAAGGTTGTATTTTTCTAAAGCTTGGCTTGTGTAAACTTTCCATCCAAAATATTACCACGTAATAACCCAAGTTATCACTTGAGATATCGGAAATTTTTCTAAAATTTAGCTTGAGTAAACTTTCCATCCAAAATATTACCACGTAATAAGCCAAGTTATCTCACTTGAGATATCGGAAATTATCCGATAGAGTTATACAAATTGTAAAGAATCGTAGTTATTCGGTCATGGTATAATTTTCGATTGTTGAAAATTGCGAATACAGTTATCAATGATAGTTGCAACTGGTGAAAAATCAGGTTCCATATCATCATAATTTGCGATAGATCGAGGAAACTGGAACATCGAACGGTATAATGGCGGAATATACGCGCGAGCAAAAAGGAAATGGAAGGTTCCATTAAGGAGAATCCATCGAAGTTCACGAGACAAAGTGTTTTTCGGATCGATTCTTATTCGAGAAACTCTTTTCTTTTTTTTTTTTTTTATCTGGAAAAGCTTTTCGCGTATCGAATATAATGCGAATTCTTTCGACACTTTTGAAGAAGAATTGCTTAAAGAACGCCAGCAAGGTACGTATTTCTTCGAACTTAATGAAATTGAGATTATACCACTCGCAACTAACTTGGTACAACTTCGTTGCTTAACGACGTACACACTGCTCCGGAAGCTCTGAACAAGTTTACGCGATATTCGATAACGGCGTAATTCTATTAACCCTTTTGCTGATGCTCTGTCCGTCCAGAAGCGCAAAATGTTCCCCGCGGTATAAGATAGAAAAAGAAAAAGAAAAATTTTTTAAGAATTGTAAAATTTTACTTTTTACAACAACTGTTTTATCGTTAAAAAATAGTGAATACGATCTAAATAAAACCTTTCACAGCGTATATGGAAATTGTTTCACAATGAGAATAAAGCGAGGCAAACAATAATCGTAGAAGCGAGATATGTTAATCGCGTTTTGTTCGAAATATCTCCGAAAATTCGGTTCGAAGTATCGAATTATCCGCATCATTTAAATTCAAAACGAGAAAACGAGTGTGGCTCTGGTTAATTATTTGCGGGAAAGTGATTCAATGCCCATCGATAGATGGTACGTGGCGAATGAAACGCGACCACGAATAGCGGTCGATCGAAGAGAAGAGAGTTGGCCGAGTGAAATTTATTTCGACGGCGAGGAGCAACAAAGCTTTCGACCATGGATTAAAATCAACGCGTTGGAAACGTTCGATTCCCGTGAGTCGAGGGAAGTAGAGAGGGAGAGAGGAAAGATGAAAGGAAAGAAGAAGGGAAAGAGTGTCTTTCTTCGTTCCTTCAGACAAATGGAACTCGATGCCGATTAATTGATGGTGATCGATCGATCGTATAAACATTTGAGAGAAGATTTTCGGGAAGATCGATATTCAATTAATCGCCGAGTCGTAGTCGAAGAGCGGATAAAATAAAAGAAAGAAAGGTGTGTAAAAGTATCGGCCTAGTGTCGTGCAAGGTGACTTTGCGGTCGAGGAAGGGGTGAAGTTCTCATAAAAAATGTGCAAGTTAGAAATGGAGAATAAAAAGTTGTACGTGCGAAGCCTTCATAAGAAAATGGCTCTGTAGATCGATGTATAGTAACTAAAAGTCTATAAAGTAGATTTTTATATTGCATTTGTTCGATATTGCAATGCTCTATCTCTATCTTATCTAATTATACGTAAATTTTCTTGTTCGATCTTCAATTTTGATAAACTATCCATGATATTTTTGTCCAAATTGTTAGTCACTCGTTACAACAAATTTCCTCAATTCGACGATGAGAGAAAGTTAATACGTTAATTATTAATTTATTACATTCCCTGAAACTTTCCTGAAACAAATAATATTTACAAATTTCTTGCGGATTCTTATCTTCGATAAATTCTCGGATCGATTAATTATTTTAAAATTTCACACTTTCGATCTATTTATTTTTTTTTTTTTTTTTTTTACGCGAGGGATCACCTCCTTCCTCGATTACACAAAGATTACACGCGATACCAATCGCGCATCGAACCGGAAATATCAAACCATTATGTAACGAATGAACTACATCGAAACATTTGCCCGAGACATTTGCCTTCTTGTTTGCGGCACGCGGTTATGCCACGGCAGCCAGCTGGTTAATTAACGATAGGCGATCATCGATCTTCGAAATTAATATACGGTTTCATGGTGGAAGACAGAGAGAAATCGCATCCATCGCACGATAATCGCATCGAAAGCGGAAAAGCTGGCGGAAGAGGAGGGTGAAAACGCAACCCCCCCGCCAAGTGCATCCGCTTTCTCCGCTCGCGGTTATTCGTTACTGGACCATCTGCGACGAAATTGCGGTGATGGCGATGACGTAATAACGTGATCAATTAACGACAAGCAAATTTCATAAACTGTTTAAATGTTTACTAAATCTCCTAGTTTTAACGTTGCGAGTCGTTTCGAATCGATAGCTTGTTTCGAAATGAGTTCGCGATTGAGTTGAGATTAATGAAAATATGAAAAAGATTAGGGAAAAATGATTTGCGCTTTTATCGATTCTTGAGAAGAAACTTGTAGAAGTAGAAACGCATGGAAGAAATTTTTCTCTCCAATCTTGAAAATTATTGAAAAGATTATTTAAAATGTTATAGATAGTTATAAGTATTATAGACCTATCCAAGTAATAAAATGTATTTCGTAATTTCACGAGAAATGTCAATCAGATGCATCACTTTATTTCGAAAATGGCACAACTTGGAAACATTAATTTTTCATAAAATATAAATTTAAACATAAAAACACGTTATTATCAAATTTAGCGTTTCTTCATCATTTTTGCTTCGTAATCTTAAAGAATCTTCTTTTATAATTCCAAACATCTTTTTTACAAAAAAAAAAAATCCTTCAAAATTGAACATTCAATACTATTCTCAAACCGAATGAAATTCATTTCCATTTCTTTCTTTCTTTTTTCTCTTTTTTACTTTCTCACTTAAAATCCATTAACACTCTATCAAATAAAAAAGCATATCATCTTAGAAGAAAATAACGCGAATCCTCGAAACACTTCCAAATTCTCTCCACGAAAACCTCGCAAAAACCAAGATCAATCATTCGATCCACTCTCAAACCGAAAGGAATAATTAATTTCCATTTTTTTTTTTTTCTTTTAGCTCTCGAATTAAAATCCGTGAACGATTTGTCAAATGAGCAAGCATCTGACGTCCCCAACTGGTACATTCGAAAAGCGAATCAAACGGCAAACAAGAGGCTGCTACACCGTATTATTAGTGGTGCTGCTCTCTCGGTTTTCCATGCAGGACCGACTTTTGCCCTCGAGAATCGTGAACGCAACGGTTCGCGAATGTACGTGCATTTACAGATGCACACGTGGCGAGCGTGTATCGCGCCGAGGCGTAGGCGAGAAACGTGACCCACCTGTGCGTACACGCACGTGGAAACACAAGCGCGCGGATTCACGGTGAAAGTATCGATATTCGCGCGGAATCGGAGCTGCTAGAATGCACAAGCAGCAACCGAGTTAATCCCGCGTACGATCAGAGTTCACCGAACCTCGCGACTCATCCTTCCTCTTTCGTTTTTCATTTTTTTTTTTTTGCTCTTTATTTTCTCCTTCTTCTTTCTCTTCTTTCTTCTTTTTTCTTTTATCCGTTCCTTCGAATCGTTGCCCGCGTTATTGGATTGCAACGATTACATACACACGCGTTTTTAATCGTATCGAATTCCTGCCGAGAATTTTTAGATTAGATCCTTGTATTATTGGATGGTTGGATAAATTGTGTGGATATTCTTCTTTTTTAATATATATATATATATTAGCTTCGTTGAATATAAATGAATAAAATGTTATATTGTTGTATGTTTTACGTTTGAATAATTAATCGCGAATGGATTTAGAATCGTTGTTTTGATGCAATTGATTTATATCGATTTATATACTCTTTTAATAGCTCACTCTGCGAGCTTTTTAACCCCCTAACACTGCAACTTGTACTTGGATTAATGTTTCTGTATAATGAGACTTGTCGCGAAAAGTATACAACATTCAAAGTTATCAGATCTTCTTATCAGATCCAATTGGAGCTGTTATTGTTGAGTATTTATACCAGTGTCAAAGTTGTTAGACAAGAATTACAATAAACGCAACCCAATTGCTCTCGGACATGACTCACGGTATAAATATTCCTTACTCCGCTTGTCTAGGTAAAAAAAAAAAAAATTCCACTAAACTTCATACCACGCTTAGCAAACGCATTTCTACAAAAATATAGATCAAATAGAAATGCATCGAAATTGATAAAAAGGGCGCACAATGTAACAATTAACTGGAATCAAATAAAAAAGAACATCACAAAGTGTAAAAAAAATATACAAAAATTCTACGATAAATCAAATAGAAATGTATCAAAATTGATAAAAAAAAAAAAAAAACAATTCAACGTAGCAATTAATATGGACAGAATTGATCGATAATAAAAATGATAAAAAAAAAAAAAGAACATCAGAACAAAGTATACAAAAAATATACTGATATAAAAATTCTATGATACTATAGAAACTATTCTACTCTTCGTTAAGCTAAAAAAAAAAAATTCGTACACGAATCGTACACACAATTTTCATCTTCTTCTTTTTTTNTTTTTTTTTTTTTTGTTTGTCACGAAATTTTACTGTGATCCAGTTGTACCCAATTAGGTCAAACTAACACAAAATCATCGTGAGCACATTGTCCTCGAGCGCTGCTTTAAT